AATCAGTTGATTTATTTGGTCATACCTTGAATAAAGTTTAAGCAGCAGGATTAACAATTCAAAGACGATGACATGTTTTTACAATTTCTTGAAAAACTATATAATAATATGCTATAGAGCCATGAGAGTTTTTGAAAGTCATGAATTTTTTTTTTTATAGTATTCCTCTACCAGCTTTGAACATTTGGAGTATGATTGGTTGAATCTAATCTACTCAGGTCTCATTGGATTATTTTCCAGCTGAAAGTTGACCCACTTTGGTCTTTTGCAGCCTTTTCATCCAGGATTGTCCTGCATTAAGATGCCTCCAGCTTCCAATTGACTGTGAAAAGTAATTTCCAGCAGTTTCTCTTCAGCCTTGTGCTGCCACTACCATGGAGAGGATGTTTAAGGTATGATATCACATAAAAAAAAAACATTTTGCATTTTAATTTTGCTGCGCCTCCATTAAGTAAGACTTGTGAAGCTGGAGGTTATAGATTTTTTCCACATGAGCAGGGAGTCTCGACACCTACTCAGTTATAGCTGGCTTCTTGGCAGTTTTAGATTAATCCTCTCCTTGCTCCTTTCACAGAACAGTTGTTTTTCTCAACATTATAAATTATGTGGACAAATTACACGTCTGAAACAAGTAGATCCCAATAAAGCTTGAAGTTAGTGGTTGTTGAGGGCAAAATATGAGGAAAAAAATAAATGTGCAAAGCCCAAAGTGTTTAGGTTTCCTCTCAGATTCTGCATTCTGGTAAAAAAAAAAAAGCAACAACAAATAGCCCATATTCGAAGCTAAACCCTAAATAGCAGCTCTGTTACAGTAGGAATTGTACAGATAGTCTATTCTGTTGCTCTCCCTTCCCTTTTGAAGGGATTTACTCAGATAAAGAGCACATTGGTGATGCAATGATGCTGCAGCCAGTGCCAAGATCTGCTGAAACCACTCATTTATCTATTTTAACTGCGTTTATGTGGCTTTAGGGTTCCATAGCTTTTTCTTTCCAAAGCACGCACAGGGTCGGACAAAACAAACTAATTCATGACAGAGATGACTTGTTTAAAGAAACAGACCAACCATAAACAGGACCTTAACAGACTGACTTTAATGGTCTTCTAAATCCAATAACTCGAGCATCTCTCCAACACACAACTGGACATAAAGGAACACCTAACACACCCCAACAACTTCTAATTCGATGTCAAAGGTTAAGGGTGACAGCTGAGAGTGTCAAGTTCTGGCTCCACATCCACTCTTACGTTACACACTCACAGTCAGGCTCGACTGGGACAGACTAAGTGGCTCTGTCAGGCAGACCATTTGTCTTTCAGTCAATAGAGGTCCTTTCTCAACCTCTCACCATACCTGCCAACAGAATATGTCTCCCCAACTCTGTTCAACAAACAAATCCTGCCCCAAGAGAACCGACCCATTTAACAGAGCTCCCCTCAGCTCTGGGCCGAGCGCTGGAGCTCCAAAACGCATTCATGTTGCAGCAAATCCAGATCTCCAGCTCTGTCTTCGTGCCCGTACAATGTGAGGTACTCGTGGCATTAAATACATTTTTACCATAAAGACTTTCAAACTAGAAGCAAACTGAGAATAAATCTGCTTCTGAAGCTGGCATCAGCAAAAGTTAGTCTCAGTTTAGACAAAAACAAAGTACTTTGTAAATAAACGGTGTTTCCAAAGGGGATTGGAAGGGCTTATTTCCGACCCTGGTAAAGGAAAAGGAAGGGATCTGAGTGATACGGGGGGTGATGAAAAGACTGATAGCTCTGGGAGAAGTTAGCAGCAAGTCAGTGAGAGTTTAAGCAAACTGAGGGAAAACATTAAACTCTTGAGCAAACATCTAAACTCTAAGCCGTAACCTTTATAACTAATATCTGCAAATGAAAGCGTATATCTACTCACCAGAGTTCCAGATTTTTTTAATGTTTGATTTTATCCAAAGCCTCCAGGGCTCAATTTATTCTTCTTTAATCTATGTGCTATCAGCCTCTTAAATCAGCGCTTGGTGTTTTTTGGAAAGAAAAAAAAAATAAAGTGACAAAAACATGAAAGGCTCAAGAATCACTCCAGGGATCCTCACAACAGCAGAATATCTTGGCAAACAGCAGTTGGACAAGTTGAAAGGATAACAGCAAAGACATGTTTTAACATCATTTCAAGCCATTTTTTCTTAAAATAAGTGCCAATGGAACAAGAGAATTTACATTTAAATTAAGAAAACACAATTGCATTGTCTTATTTCAAGTGCATATCATCGAATTATCTTATTTTAAGAGAAAACCAGTCATTCCATTGGCAAATCATCTACTTTACCTACTCAAATTAAATAAATACACTTAATTCAAGACATTTTTACTCATTTTTAGATTGTTTTTGCAGTGTGAAGGCATGTGAAACTACCTAGTTAAAGGGCGGATTATATTTCTGCAACCGTACACATCAAATGTCACTTATGTCTGGAAGCGAATCAGTTTTGTTGGTATGCTTCTGTAATGTTGGTCTGGAATTTCTAGGGAAGCACAGCAGTTTTACCGCCAAAGCGCAAGGGGGAGCCTATTTGAGAACTCGCGAGAACCTCGACAGATGGTCATGAGAAATTCGGTGGGAGTGTACAAGTGGTTGGACTTCCGAACCTCCTCGATCAACCTTTCATTGTGGTTGTCCATTGTTGTTAGTACTCCTCGGTTTTTAAAAATGGCGCACCCGGCACAGAATCGGGAAGGACGACCACACACAGCAGGAAAGGCATACCAAGGACCAATCACAGCTGCTTTTTGTCTGTGCACTTCAGCTGGTGGTCTGCGCTAGTTTGCCACCGCCCGACGCGTAGTCAGGATTTTTTTGAGGTGCTCGACGAAGGTCGCAGAGCCTCTGCGCGGGGGGCCTGGTTGCGCACAGAGACAAATTTGACGGTTGCAACTAGGGGTGGAACGGTTCACAAAATCCACGGTTCGGTTCGGTTCACGGTTTCGTGGTCACGGTTTGGTATATGTTGATTGTTAGCCTGACATGTTGGTCATGTAGCTTTTAGCATAAACAAAACGTGTTGCACAATGCTTGCACACTGTTTTTATCCACAACTTTCTTTCCGCCATCATCGTAGGTCACTCTAAATGCAAAGCGCTCCCATACAGCAGACCTATAAAGTGCTGCTGGCGCGTCTTCCAACTCCTGTTCTTTCCCACTCGCCATACCCACACAATTCTCCACAACAACTGATTTTTTTCTGCTACACCCGGCTACGCTGCTTCGCTTCTTCTTCTTGTTTACTACTGGTGGTAGGCTTTGGTCGCAGTACCGCCACCTTCTGCTCTGGAGTGTAAACTCTTCGCCTATGGGAAAAAGGAGCAGCGCATGAACCGAACGAAACACACACGAATCCAACCGAGACAGTCAAACCGAACGGTTCGGATGGTTTTCATAAACCGTTCCATCCCTAGTTGTAACTATGTGTCAGAAGTATAAATTGGCCTTAACCCGTTGGGGGGGGAAGACATTGGTGAAAAGTTTTTTTTTTTCTTTTAGATTAGTTACACTTTCTAATCTGTTTGAAAGTTCTGTCATACAGGGAAGTAAACATTTATATGCACTAAGGTACTTAGAGCTAACTGGATAGCAGCTTCAGCCATAACACCGTCCGCTCTGTGAAGGACCCACAGATAAACAGCGCTCACCATCAGGGATGCTCCATTTAGCATTTTTTGCATCGCTGATGCAAATAAGCCTCATTCAAGTTTAGGCTTTTTTGACAATGAGGTGTGATAGGTTATGATTAAACACTGCTAAAACTATGACTCTAAGACGGTCAGTTTTTCTTAAAGTAATAATACTTCTCCTTTATTTTAGCAGATGTTACATCTTGCCTGTAGAAAAATATTATTTTTACAGAAAAAATGTCTCTATTGCCTTATTCAAAGTGCTTTAAATCTAATTATCTTATCTAAGGTGAAAATACTCATTTAATTAGCAAGTTGACTTATTTACCTCCGTAATTTAAGGGCAAACAAAGTTATTTTAAGACATATTTACTTCTTTTTGGATCAGCTTTGCAGTGTATGAACAGCTAAATGACACACATGGTCTGAATTAGTGTTGTGGTTTTGCAATGACGCCAATTTGTACACTGCAAAAACTTACCATCGAACCAGGTCTTGTTTGATTTTGGCAAAAAAAAATATTTTTTTTTACTTTTTTTGAGATTGATTCACCAAACAAAAGCAGATTCTGTTTGTGTATCAATCTTCTTTTAAGATAATTCTACTCAAAATGAGAGCAATAATTTGCAAGTAAGACAATTACACTTAGTAATTGCACTTATTTTGAGTAAAATATCCTCCTACTTGCCCCCTTTGCTTAGTATGTTAATCTCAAAACAAATCAAAAAGACTTTTCGACTGCGATTGTAAGACTTGGTTATATGGACAATTTTTGCATCGTAGTTAATCTTTTCCATATTGAAACTAACTGCAAAACCTAACTCAAATTCATTTTGAAATGTAATAAATGCTCTTGTAGCAGCTTTCTCTGCAGCTATCCTGTGATTCTGAAGATATCTGTGACCATCTGCACTGCAAAAATTGAATTTGAAGTAAGTTAATGTTTCTAAAATTGGTTTTAAGGGGGGTAGTAACATAATCTGCAAATTGAATAAGAGGGTTTACATTTAAAAAAGGAAAAACAGCTTAATTATTCTATTTCAAGTGTATAATATCTAATTGTCTAGTTGTAAGGGAAAAAATGCTCATTCCATTGGAAGATCATCTTATTTTCCATCCCAAACTGAGGGGAATTACGCTTCTTTTAAAATTGGTTGACTTAATTTAGATCAGTCTTTGCCGTGCGATACAGGTAAACTGGGACACATTTTTATATCAGGAAAACACCAATTCAGCAAGCTCACAGTGAGCTTGGGCACCAGGAGCTGAGTTTCTGATGCCGTTCAGTTAAATAGGCATGAGGAGTACAGAAGGGAATTATGGGTAGCGGTGCATGCAGGTACCTGGAAGCGCTTCTTGATCTTGTAAGTGCTTTGCTGATGACCAGGGAGGGAGCCGACTGTCTCCTCTGGGCCAGGGTCTTCATCTTCTGAGTGGGCCGAGGGAAAGAGAAACACAAAACATGAGTCACAGCAGCACACACACAAAGGGAAGGTTGTGTCAGTGTTTATGGTTACATTCGATGACGGGTAGCAGTAATGTTTATCAGGAGCGGGGGGGCAGAAAGTCCACAGTCAGCACTCTGTGAGGCTGTCTGATAGCTGTTGCAGGAAGTTAAGGATTTAAGAGAAAGGGGAGGATTGTGACTGACAGAAAATGAGAAGTAACAGCAGTAGGGAAGGAAAGGAGGAAACGAGACAGACTTAAAACATGAAGGTCAGAGGGAGTGAGGCAGTGAAATGCATCATCTGAGAGTATGGCACAATGTTTAAGATTCCTGGGTCCTCCCTGAGAGGAGCATATAACAAAAACTAAATAACAGCCATGCTACTGATCTTCTCAAACCTGTACTTCAAGTAAAGGTAGAATCAAAGGATTTTTTTTTATTTATTTTTATTTTCAACATTTCTAACAGAGTAACTAAAAGGAAAAATGAGTCCAGAGTTCATTCAACCCATGACTTATTCATAGAAGTCCAACAAAAAACACTCCAACGATGAGCATCATGGGACCAGAAAACCAAGCGCCTAAAGGGATGAATGCTTTTATAAAACAAGCCAGAAGTAAACAACTCTCAGACCTTCATCTCACATTTAGACTCTGTTCTGTGGCGGTTTCTGAGTAGTTTTGATGCAAAAAACTCTTCAAAATTGAGTTCTTTCAATCAGCTTATGCCCAGACCTCTACTTATTACTGCCTATTCCATAATCTCTACACTGGACCCTTTCTGCAGAAATCTAAACGGAACTCCCAGAGATGACAAATGACTGGGAGGATGTTCGCTGTGCTATCAAGGACACGCTCCACAGTGCACTCTGGGCACGGAGGACGCTCATGAATAGTTGAGTATAAAGAGGAAGTCTGCCCTTTAGAAGCAACCTGGAATAACATTGATTCAGTCAAAACCTGATGCAACACAAAATATTCTGAGGCAAAGAACACACCGGAAAACATGTTTTTGATATTTTTTGGTTTTGCTATTAGGCAAGTTTTTAGGGTTTATTTTCCAGAAGTGAAACAGAAATAAGAAAGTAGAAAACACATGGAATAAATAAGAAATGTAGTTTCCTTTTTTCATATGAAGTAATGCAAAGGGTATGCAAAAATAAAATCTTATGTTTAAAACCAGGATTCAATGTTCTGGTTAGGGAAGATAAAATTATTATTTTTCTTGTAATTATACATACAGGATACCTACAACCCAAGTTTATTTAAAACAACAATTAAGTATTGAAATGTTCACATTTTAAATGATATTTCCCAAATTTGGGTGAGTTTTGTTTAATATCACACAAACTGTGGAGCTTTTTGCTTTTCAATCAATTAAGGTGCAGTGACAGCTTATAAACACACCAGCGAGGGGGGGGGCGCTGTTTACAACAAGTTCTCAAAGCGATTTCTGCAGAATCTGAGGCAGATATTGTTTTGTTTTTATCTTCATTGTTGAATCTGTGGTAAGATATGTACAGGGGAATAGAGCCGCAATTAAATATTATGTTTTTCTTTTAAATTATTAATAGATAGCTATCATTTTTAAACAAACAATGATTTTCCTTATGAGTCTTGAGGGTTTTTTTTATCTAAACATTTTAGTCAACAATAAAATGCAATTAGATATTTTCAAATATTAACAAAATAATTTAAGTTTACATAAGCCGCTAGAATTTCTCTTTTATTTGACACCTAAAAGCTCTCCAAACCTAGTATGACATCAGTTTTAACAATAAAAGCTCTTCCCTTCAGCATATTTTTTCCCCAATAAATAGTTTAGAAATGCAAATATAAATAAAAATTTTAGAAACTATTTTATATATTTAAAAAAAAACTACATATGAATTTTGATGATGAAATATGGAGATTTGTTTTCATAGATCTAAAGGTTTCTCCTCTGGCTGCTAAATGAGAGCTGAGCGCATCAGGGCGCAAATGGCACAATGCGCAAACAGGCGCGCACAGCGGAAAATGACTCCAAACCTCTTTTACCTTTTTGTTTTCGGGCACCGCTTTGCTGTCCCCCGTCAGAGAGTCGGACCTGTTCTGCCCCATGCTCCCCTGTTGTGGTGACATGCTTTCCATCAAGGCTGGGTACATCCACGGAGCCGAGCGCACCGGCGGTAAATTCCCATCATACGAAAGCGTAAAGTCCGAGGTTTATCCGGCGCACAGGACAGAAGGAAGAGGATCCATCACAAGAAGAAGGTGATCCGACTAAAAGGAGCCACTGAGGGGGGATCCTGGCTCAGCCTGAGCGCTGTTCGGTCTGAGCGCTCCTCAGCTGCCCTCCTCACTTCACTCCACTGGTTGGGGAGGAAGAGCGCATCCGGTTTGAAACTTTCACATTAAAAGTGCGGATGAACGTTTGTTTCACTATTTGTTAGGTTTGTTTCTAAAAACAATAATATTTTAAAATGACGAGAAAAAGCAAAACAGCTAGTTATGCCCTGATCCCATAAAACTAACTGAGCAGCAGATATTTATGTCAAAGCAATGGAAAATCAAAAATATTTAATCAAAACATATTGAAATTTTAGTCTAACTTCATTGCACTATTATTGCACTGTTAATCTAAAAGGAAATAAATAAATGATGTAACCCATTTTTTGCAGACAGTCTATGTTACAGCTGATCTAGAGAAGCCTCTGACTGAAAAAACATTTTTCATACTAAGGAAAAGTACGGAAGCCCAGAGCGGCCCTGTCTGTCTGATACTTTTTAGTGGTGATTTTCAAGAGAAAAGGAGTTAATTTTCTCATTATCTAAATATAACAAAAGCTGTTTTCTTGTCCTAATGATTGGTGTTAAAACGGATTACATCCTTCAAAACCACAACAGCGGGAGATAATTTATCAGTATAAGTCATGGGAGCCTATGAGTAATTTTGTAAATAATCACGTGTTTAACATTTATGTAACGAGACGATGGCTTGGTGAGTTGCTTCCACTTCTGATTCATAAGCAGTTAGACCTATGCTTCCAGCAGGCTCAAACTGGTAGTCTGTGATACCGGGCATTTGCCCGGTGGGCCGGTACCAATGTCAGCGTATGAGGACCGGCCCTCCTTAAATCATACATGCCCCAACACTTACTCTCCAGACAATGCACCTACCTGTGACAGTAAATAGCTCAAGGAGCTCAAGAAGTAATACAATGTTAACTACCTAAATGATGCATGCAATATATATAGCCCTTCCTTGTCATGCACATCCTTGTGACGGTTGGCATATGGTGTAATTTTCTATTTCTTTAAACTGTAAAATCCTTGCAACAAACTAAATTATAATAAAACTAAAATTCGTTTTTTAAACCAAACTACAATGTTCCTCTTATATTTGGCGAATTTATGTTAGAGTATTTTGCAAAAATATGTTGCAGCGCATGATGGGGTTTTCCTAGCCTAGTAAACTAGCCCCACCTGCCAGCGGCCAAAATCATTTTTGCCTGCTAGTTTGGTTTAGCCTCGATCAACGCGCCAGGCCCTAGAACTGGCTGGCCAATCACAACGCAGAGATGTGGTTTTGAGGGCGGGATGACAAAGCTGCGCAACACTGGAGAAAGCACAACAAGGAAGATGGCAACAACTATTGAACAGTTCTCGTTTGATTCAGCTTTGGAATCAGTTTTGGAAGGATTAGACTTGGGGATTTCGTTGAAACGCATGCTGGAAGAGGCTCTATGCTCATTCATTTTTAAGAAGGACGTATATTCGCCGTTTTACCGACAGGCTCTTTGTTTACATTCCCCACTAGCTTTCAGTCACGCTAACTACGTCACAGTCAGTTGCGCTCATTGGTCAGATCGTTGGCCAATAGGCACAGACATGGTTTTAAAAACAACGGGTTGTTCTCATCAACAATATTCTGATGTCTCATTCATCGGGGCCAGAATAAATTACACATTTATTTTCACATTTAGTCTGGTTTATCAGGCTAGTGTTTTGCATCTAAAGGCTCATGTTTCCCTCCTTACGTGCATTGTTGCCAGGTTGGGATGTTTCCCTATCTGGCAGTTTAGGATGGCCGTCTATGAGTAAAAAAAAATTTTCTTTAGATTTATGGCCTAAGAGATAAATAGGCCGAAAATTGTTCCCAGTCCGAGTCTGGCCTCCGGTGCCTTAGTGCTTGGTGTTTTCTGAATAGACCTCATGCTATAACAGGTATAAGATGCATTAACCCCTAAAATGAGTCCAGATTAAAGATTTTCATTAAAACACACACATCCAGATTTTCTTCTACTGTATTCCATGCAAACCAATCATCCATTATGGCCTGACAATGAATAAAAAGAAAAAGGAAACTAAAACACTTATTATTTTTCACACACAGTACCTCGAACTGCAAAACTATGGGTGACTGTTTTCACACCATGCCACAAAGCAGCTCAGTAGCTCTCTGTGCTCAGCTTCTTGTTCTTCTTTGTCGCACTCAATGACTGCAGATGACAGGACTCTGTCTGATCTTGGAAGTCAGACGTATACAGAGTAAAAAAGAATGGAGAGAGTACCGGCCCTGTGGTTCTCCTGTGCTGCTGTCTACTTGATTAGACAGCTGACCCTTCTTTCTAATAAGCTGTGGTCTGTTTGTCAGGTAGTCTTAGATCCAGGTAATAGCTGATGCCTTTACCTGACTCTGCTTGAGATGCAATCAGACTAAGTCAAGCTGAATTGTGTTAAATGCACTGAAGAAATCAGAGAACATTATCCTCACATGTGCTGTCTTCCTTGTCTAAATAGCATTGGGTCTGTTGAAGCAGGTGGATGTTGGCATCTTCATCTCCAAGTCCAGTGATAAGCAAACTTGATAGCTGCTTGTTTGTTTGCTGAGGTGAACCAACAGAACTCTGTAGAACTTTCATGATGTGGGATGACTGTTTTTAGTTCATAATTAAAATTAATAGAGGTTTACTATAAGTTTGCATGTAAAAAATGGTAATA